TGCATTAAATTTTTACAAACTTTTGCACATGTCAGAAAAATACAAAATAGATTTAAATAAAACATTAAAATAACAATAAAATTCAAGATATGTTAGTACAAATATTACACATTAAAAATTGTATTCCGTAACGTTACAAAACGATACAATCAAAAAAGGAATAATTAAATAAACGCATTACGCAAATCACTGTTTAAAAACTCCTGTATACTATAAAAGGCATTTTTTAGCAGGTAGGTTTTAATAGTTTGTTTAAAAGATTTTAAACTCAGAGTTTTTATTCTGTCAGGTAACTTATTGTAAAAAGTAGGTACATAGTAACGAGTGGCATTCCACGATCTTTTCAAACGCAAAAATTCAATGTTTAGATCATTATTATGTCTTGTGTTATAGCTGTGAAGTTGGCTTCTTGTATTATATGTATACTGATTTACTCTTGCATATATAAGGCATTCCAATATATAGCAACATGGCAGAGTAAGTATATTATTGTCTATAAATGCCTGTTTGGCATCGGCTCTGTAAGAAACATTGGCCAAAATCCTAACTGCTCTCCTCTGAAGTCCAAATACCCTATTTGTATGAGTACTATGCCCCCAACTTAATATTGAATAAGTGCATACTGAGTGTATTAGGGAATAATATGCTGTTTTACACAGTTCTGTATTTACATTATTGTATAATATTTTTAAAAGGAAAATGTTTTTGCATATTTTAGGGGAAATAAAATTGACATGGGCTTCAAATCTTAACTCTGTATCAATTTTAATTCCTAGAAATTTCACTTCACACAGAGCCAGATCCTGATGACTTCTAAGCGAGAAAATAACTTGTTCGGTTTTTTGGACGTTCAGATTTAAGCAGTTGGCAGTGAACCAATTTTTGGCATTTTGCATATCGATATTTAGACTAGATCTTACGTCAACTAAGTTCCTTGAAGAAGTTGTTATGGTGGTATCATCTGCATACAAAATCAGAGCATTTGGTGTGATTGTTGGTATATCATTTATGTAAATTATAAATAGCAATGGACCTAGTAGTGATCCCTGAGGAACCCCACATTCAATGGCCTTCACCTCAGACACCTCACCCCCATAAAAAGTCATCTGTCGTCTACCCTTTAGATAACTTTCCATAAAAAGTAGACCAATATCACTGAAACCATAATAATTTAGTTTTTTCAGCAGAATGTCATGTGAAACACAATCAAAGGCCTTGGAGAGATCGCAAAAGAGTGTTCCCACAAAATGCCGCTCCTCAAGACCCTCGATTATGTTGTCAATCATTTGTAGACAAGCTGCTGTTGTAGATTTGCCTTTCCTAAATCCATATTGATTATCAATCAATAAGTTTTTGGAATCAAAATAGTTTTGGATTTGATTTTTTAACAGATACTCAAAAATTTTGGAGAATACCGGTATCAATGATATCGGTCTATAATTACTTGGGTCATCCATATCTCCTTTTTTAAAGATCGGTATAACTTTGGAGATCTTCAAACAATCGGGAAATATACCTTGAGACAGACATTCATTAAACAGTTTAGTTAGTACTGATATTAGACAATTTTTGACTCTCTTGATAAGAAGTAAGTTTATTTCATAAAAATCCTTACTGTTTTTGTTTTTTAAATTCTCAATTGCATTTCTTACCTCAATAAGGGTGACCTCTCTGAAGCAAAAACCATCCTCTGCAGAAACCCCTCTGTTAAAGTTTTGAAGATATACTCCAGCATCAATAATACCCTGATTTTGCATGCCAACAACGCCTTCCCCAATACTTAGAAAAAAGTCGTTAATATCATCTGCTTTTAAGTTTGTTTCCAAATCTTCAGCCACAGTTTTTCTTCTTACAAAGTTTAATACCTCCCAGGATGCCTTGATTTTATTATCTGCCTTCATAATATACCTATGTAGAGTTTGCTTGAATTTTTGCATTCCTTATTTCGTTCCTATATTTGGTTCTAAATGTTTTAATGTAAGTTGCAACTTCAGGTAGCCTATAGTTGTCGTGGAATTCAACTAGAAATTTTAAATGATTTCTCATGTTTTTTATTTTTTGAGTAAACCACATTATTTTTTTAGACTTTTTTATAGTTCTTGATTGCTCTGGGAATGCCACCTTCATTATATTAATAAAATAATTTATAAAAATATTAATTTTAACATTTATATCACAATACTCACCTAAAAAGTTCCAATTTTCATTTAACAGAATATGGTAAAAATTAAAAATACCCTGATCAGTAAAAGGTCTATATGCTATTTGTTTTATAGTATCTTTTGGATTGTTTCCATAAACCTTTCAATCTTCCACAATCCATTGTGTAATCTTCGCTGGTCGATATTTTTGTTAAAAATGTTTAATACAAAAATTGTAAATAAGTATTACACTGACAATAAAGGTAAAAACAAAAGCTTAAATGAAAAATATTTATTTTAAAAGTGTTAGTCTTGATGAGGTCTGCACCTCTATTACGTTGTTTATTTTGAGTGGAAACAACATGTATAGATCATTTTCATTCTATTGTATGATAGGATTATTATTATGTTAATTTAAACGTTATTTTTTAATATTAAAGTATGTTTGCGGATTTATGGAACAAGGGAAAAGAAAATGCTTATCTTTAAAGATAGTACAATTGTACTATAGTTAATTTATTTTTGATAAACACATTTTATACACATTTAAATATGTATATTGGTATTTCAATATTTTTTGGGAAATTGGACCTCTTTGGTACGGGTCCTGTGAAGTTAATTAGCAAGTCCAATTCGAATTGGATCCATTATGAATAACTATGCAAAAGGTTTGATTTGGCAATGTTTGCTATGGACACTTTAATAATAACTCAATACACTTCAATTATAAGTCAAAAAATAGCACAAGAATAAAAATCAAGGGTACCTAAGGTTAAATTTTCACCAGATTTATGGACGGTCCATGAATTAATATTTTTTGGTCGACCATTATTGGTAGATTGTTCTATAAATGAAAAAAAGTAATAGTATTCTATTAAGTGGATATATTCTAATTCACGAGCGTATCAAGTTAATCAAATTTCCACTAGATAGAAAACTCACTTTTCTTACGCATTGAACACGCTTTTTTTGTATTTACGGAGATAAGATTACATCGATCCACTCAATATACAATGTCAATGTACTATTTAAGATCATTAAATTTCTAATAAAACCTTACGGGTTACTTTGACAACAGCAATAGTTATTTTTCAATGAGTAGTGCCAGGAACTCTTCAGGGCATTAATAGTATATTCTGTAACAAGCTTGGAATACGTATTCCTTACGGCATATTCCGCTTGAGTGAAAAAATTGTCACACAAGCCGAAGGCGAGTTTGACGGTTTCACAAGAGCGTGTTTCAGACTATTTTACGTTCCCAAAAAATAGCATAGTCTAAAATTTATTAGTTGTTAAAAACAGACATGTCGCCACCAGTGTCTATTCCATCATCCTATGATAGAATAATTCATTCTGTACGGAATATACGCTAAAGAACTATAGTTTTCGCAACGCGCGCGCTATCTGGTGGAGTTCGATAACATTGTGGGAATTCAAGAATTGTCAACAATACATTTAAAGCATACAAGCTCCACATCATTTTAAATAAATAGGTAGTTTTTTCACAAAAGAGAGGAAGGCAGAAGTCTTACTCGACAAATTTTGTTCAATTGCACAGCTAAATCGCGCACGTTTTTTGTGTTTTACGTTGCAAGGAAAAAATTAAAAAACTGGTTTAGTACTCGATTTCGATTTATTATTCCTTATATCGTTGATTAAGAAACTCAACGCTTATATGCATATATAGTTACGTTAGTGTGTGTATTTTATCTAAGGGATCATGGTAAATTATTGTAAATAAAAAAGGAAGTAAATCGTTGCATTTTCACGTTTTGCCAAAGCATCCAATTCGGTAAGTACATTTGTTGGTGCAGAATATACTAATGATAACTAAACCTAATATAATTTATATTTAAGTTTGGACATTTTTAAGAAATTAGTAAAAACTAATTGTTACACAAACATAACCATAAAATCGAACATTTTTATATTCGAGTCCTCTAAAAAACGCTGACAACTGCATTTTAAACAACAAAATATATCTACGAATTCATGGCAACATATATATTATAATATTATATACGTAATATAATGGTATACCATACCTATAGGTATTCTACCGTTGGTTGGAGACTTTCTTAATCAAAGCTTTTAATAATGCTAAATGCTGTTTAAATTTACACGACTTATTTCAAATAAGTTATTTGTTTGACGATTTTTACTGAATTGAAATGTTTCACGTTAATCATTACTAAAATGTGTATTTATTGTATCTAATAGATCTATACAATTTATATTTACAGGGACTGTATGAAATTTATTTCTTTATTCGGATTAATACTGTTTATTGGAAACCGGTAAAAACTCAACCCAGGATTTCTTCTCGAAATACACCCAACAACACAACAAATCGTGCCACGGTTTTTTCCGATATTTTTTAACATTTTTCATTTTTATTCTCAAAAACATTCGTTTGTAACATAAGCGTTTGACAGCTAATTATTAAAAGTTGTAGGTAGTTTTGTTACGATGATAACGGCCGAGTGATGGCGCTACTAGCGATGCTTCTTTAGCGTATGTGTCATTCCATATAAAAACGGTCCTATTCCGTATACTATAATAGGAATAGAAAAATATTATTTCCAATAGTTTATTTAGTAGATTACTGTTCTGCGCATCAATGGTTAGTGTTTTAATAGAAAAGCGTTAATTAATAAAATGAATAATAATTTAAATAATTATAGATCATTATAGTCGCCCTTCGTATACTACTGACATCTGTCAGATAGACAATTTGATATCCGTCAAATATACGTTCTAACTTAAAACTAGTACTTTTTAACTACCTATATCTTAATAAATTAAGAATTTTATTTTATTTTAGCTTAGGTAAATAAATTTTTCAAAAAAACAAAAAAGTATAAAACAATACTTTTATTTATGGTATGTACAAAATTTACAAAGATCCTTAACCTCTAAATTTGTAGTTCGATCTTTGATCATAATTGAGTTGTGTAGGTTCAACTTTTTGATACTGAGAAGGTCCTGCGCATCCAGTTACGTTTTCAGCACCATCGCATTCATTCGTTATTTCATTGAAAGCTCTTCCTTCGCCGCAATTATTAAGTCGGGGTCTGTGATCTACACAGACAAAGTACCTTTGACAATCGTTGGGGGATCGGAAGGAGCGGTACTCTTCTTGGCCAAAGATTCCTTTGGCTGCTGGGGGGCAACTAAAGCCAAGATAAGCTAAAAGAAAAAAAACACTTTTAATTACCTATTTAAGTATCATTTTACTCGACATGTTGATTATAATTAGTATTAAGTTCCAGCACATAACACGATAAAAGTTGTGAATGAGAAAACATGTGTTTTCGGAATCAAAATATAAGTATCAAAATCCATTTTAAAATCTATATGAACAATTCAAAAAAAGTCGTTTATTATTATTATTATTACGGCTATAATAGCCGTAATAAATAATAATTAATAATTTACAATTATTGTGGATTTACCTTCTGCATCACAAGATTTTACTTGATCAGGCCAGTCACATCTGTACGTTTCTTCGTTAAAAGCTAGACCCTCAGGACAATCGAAAATAAAACCACGGCCATCTGCACAATTTTTAAATTGACCACAGTTATTTGCGTCTCCCATTTTATAATAGCCGAATTGATGAGGGCATTCTTCGGTTGGCTGGGGTGGCTCTAAAAAGTATAGACATATTTACTTTAAAAAGGGCGATGGTATTATAATTAATTTAATTAAAATAAAACTTTTACTAACGAGTAGAAGTTCTGCCTGCGCAATCTACTTCGTTTGGATATTGGCAAGGGTATCCCGTAGCTGGATTGAAAAGTAAACCATCAGGGCAAAGCTTTTCTTCTGGTACGCCATCCTTACACTCAATATATCTAAAAAATATTTTCATGTATAAATTGTATTCACGCGTTATACAGGGTGTTCCGAAATTAGTGCACCGTACTTTAATAGCAGATTCCACGTGCAAAAATAAGAAAAAAAGTCCCTATAAATATAGGTCGAGAAATGCCTCCTAAGGGAGCTACAGCCCCCGAAAAGGGAGCCCCTGAATATGGTTTTTATCTAATATTTATAAAAAAGTAGAAACACCCTGTCACTTACTACATGAAACTGTCACCTGTCTTGAATTATTCTATTTTTTCCTAAACATGGCAGTCGTATTCCAAGGACCACGCGAGTCCATTTCTATGGTTGTGATTTAATTGTGAATTTTTATGCCATGTAAAATAATTTTTAAATCGATTTTAAGCGAAAACGGTGTATGTTAACGAAGTTCAACAAAATGACCTTTTTATGTGCAAAACTCCAAAATTTCATAATCTGACATCAAATTCTGGTACAAGATCCGTACAAAAAAGTTAAGGTGGTTTTAACCCCACTTCCTATCAATCTGACCCAAACCTCATGAAATTTTTTAAATTGTTATTGCTACGTCTTATTGCTCATAAAAAGTTTAATTAATTCCCTAAATTTCACTTTTCTATCTTTAACGGTTTTGGAGATATTAAATAAAAACCATCTTCAGGGGCTTTCCTTTTGGGGGCATTTCTTGACCTATGTTTATAGGGACTTTTTTTCTTATTTTTGCAAGTAGAATCTGCTGTTAAAGTATGGTGCACTAATTTTAGGACACCCTGTACTCCAAAGCGAATTATTTACAAAGAGCTAAAATAATAAAATAAACACATGTTTAGCAAAAAAATACAAAAATATAGGTTGGACAAGGCTTACAATAATTGTCCTATATTACCTTGTATTTTTATATTGACCATTGACAGTTTTTGGTGGGACACATTTTCTATAGATATATTTATTTATATAAATAAATATTTATAATATAAAATAAAATAAATATAAATTTATAGAAATAGTGTATATATACACTTCTCCAATAAATTAACGCATCACCAAAAAAAAACAAAAGTTTTAAGTAAATTTTTGTCAAAACCAATTATCCGATTTGAACGCTTTTTTTAATAATAGGTTGTCCCTTTCACAATGTTGGGATACTAACTGTATTCCGATAGAATCCTCTTTTTTACAAATACCGGGTGTAGCAATTGGTTCATTCCACGATTCTCGGGAATTTTTGTCCCGCCCGTCAAAATTAAAAATTGTGAGTAAAATCTACACGTTATAAAATTTATTTTAAAATAGTGTTAATTTTGCTTGCAATAAGCTTATAAGCACAATAAAAATAATATTATAAAATATTAATTTAATAACTTTTTAATTGTGACGGGCGGGACAAAAATTACCGAGTAACGTGGAATGCCCCAATTATAGCGTGTTTTTTTCATAAAATTTGTAACACCCTGTAGAGTTAAACAACTACAATATAAGTTAGAATTGAAATCAAACTTTAGACTTATCTTTTTTTTACATTTTGTTTTTTTATTTACTCCATTATCTTTCATATTACACGAGTAACAACATTTTATAGGATAACATGATTTTATCTACTCCTATTGCATAATTTTGGGTTTTTTCCTTGAATATTGTTAAACATTATAAAATTTCTGCCTAACAACGTGAACTGAGTTCACTGAACTCATTATTCACGTTGATTGGCCGATTTTAATATTCATTGTGATTTGAACCAATCGGGGTTTAAATTGGAAGAAGGCGACTATAATAACATTTAAAATTGGTAAAAAGTGAAGTTAACCATTTGGCAGATGTCAGATTTTATTTATTTAATTTTAAAATTTCAAAATTAAATGGTTTAAACCATTTAATTCAGCCCAATTCACTAGCATGAGTCGAATAAATATTACGATAACCACTAATTTTAGTGGCTAACGTTAACAACTCATGTTAGTGAATTGGCCTGATTATCTACCTATTTTACCAGATAAAGTATAGTGATCAATTGATACTGACAATAAGTATCAGAATTTGCCTGACTTACTTTAGTGAGTAAAATTCTCATTAAAACCAATAATATACTATAGTATATTATTATATATACGAGAGATAATGCAGGCTTTTATTCAAGAGGATGAGGTTTACGTCTCGAGTCGCCAGACGAGAGACATAAATCATCCGAGTGAATATTGCGCATAATCTCGAGTCTGATACTATACTTTATCTACTCCAATAAGTAGATAATCAGGCCAATTCACTAACATGAGTTAGGATTAATCCTTTTATCGATCAACACCCAATAAACATTTTTGTGTTTGCCATAGGTAAATGTTATATTACCCAAATTATAAAACCTAAATTTCTTAATTTCGTTACAGAAATATTTATATAACTCTAGAGTGCCCTTTAAGGGGTATATAAGCTTATATACCCCTTAAAGGGCATATTTGGAGGGTTTATGAAGGTTATCGTTAATTATGTTTAGTAACACTATAAAACCTAAGTTTTATAACTAGAGGTAACAGAAATATTATGGAAACCACTAAATAACTTTTTAAAGAACCTTCCTTCTTTTAATATTTCTCTCTCCCTCGGGCGTTCTTATTGTTATCTTATACTTTAAGGACTTGTTTAATCCACGTGAATATCTCGAGAAGCCTATGGCAAAAATATTAATGACATATATAATTTATATCTAAGATTTACTCAATACGACTTAAAGTGCAAAGTCATTTTAATTGTAAATATGCATTAGGGTGTCCGTTATTTACCAAGTTGATTTTTTTTCTTGCGACGCCCCCTAAATTTTTAGTTTATCGTCTAAAAAAAAAATTTCAGACCAAAATAAACTCCTAATATTCATAATAAACCTTGCCCCAAAGACGATACATTTCCCATTCAAATAACATGGGACTTTGACACTTTTTTCAATTAATTATTTTTTTCCCAGGCAAGATGACTTACAGCAATGAGACATATATTCTAATACTAAATTGAACGCTCTACAAAAAAGGTCTCTTATAATTTTTCGATTAAATCACTCGTTAAAAAGTTATTCGAGGTGAAAGTTAAACTCTGTGTAAATTTTCAGATTTTATTATTATTTCGATGAAAGTTATTAGTTTATTTATGAAAATAGATAATTCTGGTGGTATTAGGGTATACAATTTTTAAACCTGGAAAATAATAGACTGCATACTTAACAGGTAGCTGGTTCTAGTTTTAATCATTTTTGAGACTTTATTTATAACACACAGTCAACTATTTTTTATTGAATTTCAAGTTTTGTACACTTTTATGAAATTTTCCTTCAATACAGTAAGTGACTCAAAATTACCCTTACAAGCATTCCCGCCAACACACGGAATTTTTATTGACGCAAGCGCGCTAAAGCGCATTTAGTACCTTGACGGCGCTTTAAGTCCTTTTAGTATTGTATACAAATATCTGCATATTGTTGTGAATGTTGTGTAGTACATTAACAGTAGTTATTTATATAATAAAACTTGTTTATTATATACAAAAAACAAACTTTAGAATTAGTGCAATTTTTAACATATAGGTAAATAAAAACTTTAAAATTAAATTTTCGGTAAATCATTTGTAAATAATAAGCGATTTTCGACGTCGGTCCATTGTCGGTAAACGATAATTAATTTCCGACGTCAACTGAACGTTTAACCGACGACGGCAAAACGTTCGGTAAACTGTCTGAAATTGATAATCGATTTTCGACGTTTATCCAACGTTGGACCGACGTCGGTAAAACGAGCGAAAAAACGTCGCGACGTCGGAAATTGATTATATTTTGCAAACGTTTTTTTCGCTCGTTTTACCGACGTCGATCCAACGTTGGATAAACGTCGAAAATCGATTATCAATTTCAGATGGGTAAAAACTGTTTAAACTTGAATAAAATATTAAATACTTAAGAAAATATTAATAATATCAAATTGACAACTTTTCCATTGGATTTAGCACCACCATTTACATATGGTTTCATAAAAATATTTGTCAGTTTAAACCATTAAGAGGTTTTAGGACAAAAACAGCTATTTCCGACCAGTGTGCACACTGCCGACGAGTCGGTACAACGCTGGGTTGACGTCGGAAATGAATGATCGTTTGGCGACGTTGGACCGACGCGTCGGTAAACGAGCGAAAAAAACGTTTGCAAAAAATAATCAATTTCAGACGTCGCGACGTTTTTTTCGCTCGTTTTACCGACGTCGGTCCAACGTTGGATAAACGGCCAAAATCGATTATCAATTTCAGACGGGTTACCGCTCGTTTTGCCGTCGTCGGTTAAACGTTCAGTTGACGTCGGAAATTAATTATCGTTTGCCGAAAATGGACCGTCGCGACGTCGAAAATCGCTTATTATTTACAAATGATTCGTATTGCCGACGTCGGTACAACGCTGCGTTAACGTCGGAATTCGATTATCGTTTTTCGACGTTGGGCCGACGTCGAAAATCGATTATCGTTTACAGACGTTTTACCGCTCGTTTTGCCGACGTCGATCTGACGTCGACTCGATGTAAAAAAGCGATGATCGGTTGAAGCCTAGCGGCCGACGGACGATTGTTTGTCGGGTATTGTTTTTCCAATCAAAAATATATTTTGTCTTAGATCCATTGAACCTAAATTTTTTATAGGTTATAACTATTTGTGAAATTTTAATTCTAATGAGATTTTCGTAAGTAATAGGAGGATTTTTGCGTAAATGTTAACAATTAAAATATAAATTGCAATTTTTTGTGACAACAGCTGTCAAGTTTTGCCGCGGGTAAACTCGAAAAAACTGCTGACAGGTGCTGTCACACAGTTTTTTCACCTAGAAACCATTTGTAATTCAAAATTGCGCGTTTGTGATTGGTGGAAATTAAGACGAGGGAAATAGTCACCTATAAACCATTTGTAATTCAAAATTGCGAGTTTGTGATTGGTGGAAATTAAGACGAGGGAAATAGTCAATATAAATTTAATTTTAAAGTTTTTATTTACCTATATTGCACTAATTCTAAATTTTGTTTTTTGTATATAATAAACAAGTTTTATTATATAAATAACTACTGTTAATGTACGACACAACATTCACAACAATATGCAGAGATATTTGTATACAATACTAAAAGGACTTCCCAGCCGTCGAGTGAGTAAGTCGATGTAGCGCAGTCAGAGAGTAAACGTAAAACGTTAAAACCATAACCAACAAATAAGCCCTCATAATGCAAACAACTATAGTGTAACAAATACAGTGAGGACAGACTACCCTACGGTCAACAATTAGTTAAGGGCCAAGTGAAAAGGAAGAGTGAAGTGACAAGTGCAAACGAACATAGTGAAACGGTCAAAAGAGTTAAGTGTTAAGTGACAAGAAAGAGTTAAGTGACAAGTGTCAGTGCCTGAGCGGTCGCACCATCTGTCAACAGGACCATTTTCACTGGCCAAACAAAAGAGGCCAAACAAAGGAGGAACAGGCCACCTGCAAATAATTGCTAAGTATCCGCATGACCTAACCCATAATTTGCAAATTAAGCTAAACAAGGCACATTGCCTAATCCCTACAAAAAAACAATAATCATCGACAACAAAATAAAATAAAAAGTCAATTTTCCAAGAAAAAACCAAACAGCCGATCGCGGACACTGCAGTTTTAGTGATTTTTTACACTTTTCAAATCTTTCAAACATACGAATTTTTGAATTAAAAAATTAAATTAAAATAATCCTGGTATAGATTCTTTGGGAAATTTTATGCTCTACAAGAAATCCGCGACGTAAAAATTTGTATCTCAAACGGTTCAAAAGTTATAGTCTTTTTAATGAAAAAAGATTTTTTTACGTGTTATTTCAATGGAAAACTTAGAATGCTCACCGACACCTTTTAAAATTGAGCAAAAAATTTTGCCTTGCAGGAAAATTTTTTTCTCGGTATGTAGGTTCATTTTAACCCATAAATCGATAGGTTAGTTTTTTTGGCTCACCCTAATACTCATACTCATACTAAAAGGACTTAAAGCCGCCGTCAAGGTAGGTACTAAATGCGCCTTTAGCGCGCTTGCGTCAATAAAAATTCCGTGTGTTGGCGGGAATTCTTGTAAGGGTAATTTTGAGTCACTTACTGTATTGAAGGAAAATTTCATAAAAGTGTACAAAACTTGAAATTCAATAAAAGTAGTTGACTGTGTGTTATAAATAAAGTCTCAAAAATGATTAATACTAGAACCAGCTACCTGTTATGCAGTTTAAAAATTGTATACCCTAATACCACCAGAATTATCTATTTTAGAAATAAACTTTCATCGAAATAATAATAACTTTGCCGTAAAAGTAAAAAAATCTGAAAATTTACACAGAGTTTAACTTTCACCTCGAATAACTTTTTAAGGAGTGATTTAATCAATTATAAGAGACCTTTTTTGTAGAGCGTTCAATTTACTATAAGAATATATATGTCTCATTGCTGTAAGTCATCTTGCCTGGGAAAAAAATAATTAATTGAAAAAAGTGTCAAAGTCCCATGTAATTTGAATGGGAAATGTATCGTCTTTGGGGCAAGGTTTATTATGAATATTAAGAGTTTATTTTAGTCCTGAAATCTTTTTTAGACGATAAACTAAAAATTTAGGGAGCGTCGCAAGAAAAAAAATCAACTTGGTAAATAACGGACACCCCTAATATGCATCTCGCATACTCGCGAAGAATGTGCCCAAGCATTTATATTGTTTGAGGTAGGTTGGAGCTATCGAAGATAGGTGGGTGAACGATTTAATGTTTCCAAACTCACAACCATTTCACGAGTTATACCGAAATAGAGAAATTGGAAGTAATGGTAATGGCCGGGACAAGGAAGAGAAACGAAAAACCACTTACATTCAGGAACAGTTTTTAAGACTCTCAGCATTAAGACAACGTTTTGTAACAGCTCGGACTCGACGTTACTCGAGTTGTGAGAAATTTTCTAGAGGAAGTCGAAATCGCTACTATGGCATGGCCAGCTCGGAGCCCGGACTTAAATCCCATAGAGAATCTTTGGAACAGTCTTGGGAGGACATTACAAGAGGAACGCAACGTGAACTCTTTGGAAGAGGTACGGCAGAGACTTATTCGAATATGGAAAGAACTGGACCAAAATGGACATAAGGTCTCTAATTTTTAAGTATGGCCCGACGTTTTCAAGAAGTTATTCGTGCCAGAGGTGGAAATACAACGAGTAATTTCGTTTTAATTGGTTTGTTAAATTTTGTATCGTTTTTTCTTGTTAATAATTTGCAATAAAATCATGTTATCCTATAAAATGTTGTTACTCGTGTAAAATGAAGATAATGAAGTACTTAAATAAGTTTGATTTTAATTCTAAACTTGATATTGTAGCTGTTTAACCCTACAGGGTGTTACAAATTATATGAATCAAATGAATATGAAAATTATATAAATTCAATCGGGACAATTTGTTTTGACAAAAATTTACTTAAAACTTTTGGTTATTTTAGGCGGTGCGTTAATTTCTAGGAGAAGTGTAAGTATATTATATAAATATAAATTTAAATCAGTTAAATATTATAACTTAATCTAAATGAACAAAATAAGATCTAAAATATGTTACCCATCACATGAAGAAGTAGGATAACGACCATCCTTTTCAGGACAACTTCCAACTGAATTTCTCACGTTTCCAGCATTTCTTTGATTTTGATAGGAGTTTCGATAGTTGTTATTTGATAATTTTGAGAGAGAACTAAAAAAATAATAGGGCTTATAAAAGGTGTTTCTAAATCAATAGCCGTTACTGAATGAGCTGAATCCTTAAATGATTTTAACGAAAAGTTCATGTAAATTAAGGTCCGCAACCGATTAATCGGTTGGAGATATAGCTATATAACTATTATATAGGTATATATATATAGGTATATAGGTATATATATATACCTACCTCCAAAATGAAGCGGTTGCGGACACAAGTTTATATGAATTTAAAAAAATATCTTTAAAATTTTATTGTTGAAATTATAATAATAATTATTAAAGAGTAGAAAGTGAGGTTAGTCTAGATCTGACAGTAGACGGATTATTGGATTGATGCAATCGGGTTTTTACAGACTAGGAGGTTAAAAACCCGATTGGTCAAAATTATTTTTGGAGCCTAGGACCTTTTTTTTAATTAAAGTTAAACGGTTCTTAGTTTTTTTTTTCAAAAGCAATACTTAACTTAAACTAAGAATGATGTCATTTTTTTCGTAAAAAATATTCCAGGGCATGTTAGTGTAGACGCCACTGTTAGAAGTAGAACAAATATTTTTCGTGAAAAAATTGTATTTTAAGCCTAATTTTCACCCAATATATATATATATATATATATATATATATAAATACTATATAAAAATTAGGATAAACCGTTTTTTTAAATTTAAACACACCGAATCTCACAAAACAATAACATGTATACTTTATAAGTGTTATTAGCATAAGTGTATGATAATAAAACCAACATAATTAAAACATGTAAGTAATTGATTTTCGTCATTATGCATAATGACGGAAACCAATTAGGTAGGTACTTACATTAAATAATGCATGTTTTAATTTTTACTGCTTATATCATGAAATGATAAATTTGATGATATAAGCAAGAATATACCATTGATATGACAGAAGTAAAGTATTTTAAAATGTATGTACCTATATATATATATAAGTATATATACCTATATGAAAACAAGGGTACCTACTTAAAGAGCAAAGTACAATTTTTTTTCTGATTTGTTATTGGAATTAAACGTTTTGAATGTACCTAATTAATCAGAGTTCAAAAGTTAGCTTTACATTATATTTTGATTTAGTTAAGTTTATGTTTCATAATATACTTACCTATCTATTAATAAATAATATACTTATGTACACACAATATTGTGAATGATAGTGTTGTGACAATACCTAAAATGGTGAGATAAGCATCTTTATAATACACATCTTTATAATTAAATGAAATTAAGAATGAACAATTTTTAGTATTTTTGTTTTTAATGTGTTTATATGTTAATACGACTTTGGCCTCAGAATTGCTCCATAACCCATTTTCAACTCAAAAGAATATAAAACGCGGTTTTTAGTTTAACGAAAAACCGCGTTTTTTTTACTTTTGAGTTAAAATTATGTTATGGAGCAATTCTGAGGCCAGGGTCGTTTTAGCATATAAACCCATATACCTAATATACAGGGTGTTTCAGAATAAGATGCTGAACCTTAAGGTGTGAATCCTTAGTTGATTTAAGAAAAAAGTTCAAATAAACCTATGACCTAAACCTCTTAATTTTTAAGTTACAGGGTGTTAAAGTTTTAAGAAAAAAATCATTTTTTTATCATAACTTTAATAACTTCCTAGATATTTTTATAAAATTTGGCACACGCCTTCTAAGCATTAACAGTAAGTTTTTGATGTAGAAGATTTTTTATTTTCTTACCAGTGGCGTCCGTACAGGATGTGGTCTAGATATTTTTGGAAAAATATTATGCACGCCACTGCTATTTTTCAAAATAAAAATTATTTATTAAATCCCCATTCATTTTAGGGCAAATTTGATTTTCTGACCATTTTTCGTACGACTAACGATTTTCGATGAAAAAATTAAATAGTATATTACACTACAAGGGCAGAAAGTGTGAGATTCCTGCACTGCGCAGTTCAGTGCTCTCACACTTTCTGCCCGTGTAGTGTATACTATTTTTCTTACTCACCTCGGCCGAAAATACAACCCAACCCAACCCGGCCGAAAATACGGGAAAAAATTAAATGTGTATATCGAAACATATTGATGCTTGCCCCGACATTTGCGGCACGAGCTAAGCCTTCGTAAGCCCTTGTAGTGTAATATACTCGAAAATACGTTGTTTCGTCCCCGATTCCAATGCATCAAACGTAAATTTGACCAATGCATCAAACTTAAACTTTCTGCCGTGGAATCGGGGACGAAACAACGTATTTTCGGCCGAGGTAGTAAGAAATAGCTATTTACATATCATAGGAGGAAAATAATGCTTTTCCTCCCGTAAATAGTTTGATGCCCGACGCGAAGCGAAGGGCATTAAATATTCAAGGCAGGAAACGCATTTTCCTCCTGAGGTATGTATATGGTTTTTTCTATTACCCTTTTAACGGTTTTAAAGACAATTTAAGGGTTCGGGTTATTTTTTACTAACCCGGTATGGGGCTATAATATTATGACAAAATATTAAGTAGGTTTTGCGTCGCCGACGTTGTGTTGACAACGCTTTGTTGCTATGGTATTTTTGTAAAAACAAACATAACAGTTGTTATAAGCTGTCCAGGTTATCATAAATTTGAAATTTTTCCTACTTTTTAAAATGAGTTCCTAGCGAAGAAGACCTGCCGCAAGATCTTGCTGAAGAGGCAAGAGTAGTTGAAATTAATCTTCTCTCCTCAAAAATCGAAAAAGAGATATAAAAAGGAATGTAGTCTTGTATTTTTTTTGTAACTTTGACACTGCTAAAACATTTGTTATAAGCAAAAAACTAAACTAAACTAAACTAAACAAAGAATGGTTGAACAAGCGCGGAGTAAATCTTTTTCGTACAAAATCAAATAAGGCTAGACAAGGTACAAAACTCTTGCTAATGTAAAATTGTTAAAAAAAAATAGAGGGAGGAAATATTTTTTCCTCCCGGGGAGGAAAAGAGGCATTTTCCTCCCTCGCTCGGGGGTGGAAAATTAAGTTTTCCATTAAGGTAGTAGAAAAAAGCATTTAATGTGCATATTGCCATTTGCCTATAATTTCTGAAAAGGAGGCTATAAACTTTGTGGTTAAGGAAACAGGAATGACAAAATAAATAATTTTTAACAGTTTTGACAGATATTTAAGTACACGGCTTTTTACTTAAAATTTAAAAACGTAACACCTTTTAAACGTATAAGTATAAGTACAATGGTAAATTTTACAAATGCTGAGTTTGCTGATATGCATTACATGTACGGACTTGCTGACGGCAATGCATTTGAAGCCAGACGATTATACCAAGAGCGTTATCCAAATAAAATAGTTCCGGATGCACGAACGATTTCAGGAACTCACAGAAAGTTATGTGAAGCGGGATCTTTTAAAACAAAAAACTACCTGAAAGGGGCACACCATACTGCACGAAAACCGGAAACCGAAGAAGCTGTTTTACATTTAGTGGATCAAAACCCTGAAATAAGTACTAGAAAAATTGGGAATATTTTAAATATTACTCATGTCCTAGTGTGAAGAATTCTTCATGATTATTTGTTATATCCTTACCATATTCAACAGGTATTTCCATTACGCTTAAATTTTTCCCAATGGTTTCTTCAAATGGTTACCGACAATCCCCAATTTTCCAGGAACGCCATAAGAAATTTTTACAACAATCATTTATGGATTGAAGAAAACCCGCATGCCATCACGGAATCCAACTTGCAAATTTGCTAGACGACGTCCCTGCTTTTACCCGGCTTCATTTGTGGTTTATGCCATATGGTGCACCTCCCCATTTCAGTCTCCAGGCACGGGAATTTTTAAATCAACATTATAGAAATCGCTGGATAGGGCGCGGAGGAACACAATCGTGGCCACCTAGATCGCCAGACCTAAACAGTCTAGATTTTTTCCTATGTTGACATCTTAAGGCGTTGGTTTACAGCACCCCAATAAATACTGAGGAGGAGTTGAGAAACCGCATAATAGTTTGTTGTGGGGTACGAAACTCAATGAGGAGAAGAGCTGAAGCATGCATACTTGCAGGTGGTGGCCACTTTCAACAGCTAATCTAAATTATTTTTGTTTTTGTTAACGATATTTAATGTTGGTTCTTTTAAAATTATTTTATAATTAAATTTTATCATTTTTTTCATCGTAAACCGTTAGTCGTACAAAAAATGGTCAAGAAATCAAATTTGCCCTAAAATGAATGGGGATTTAAAAAATAATTTTTCCAAAAATATCTAGACCTCCTGTACGGACGCCACTGGTAAAAAAAATATAAAAAATCTTCTACATCAAAAACTTACTGTTAATGCTTAGAAAGCGTGTGCCAAATTTTATAAAAATATCTACACTGAGAAAAAAGTTTATGGTTCCCAAATAAAAAGAATAATTAAATATGGGACAGAAGCATTGTTTATTTATCCTAAATATATTTTTATTTCTGACACAAAGTTTTACTAAAGTAAATTTATCGTTATTATTTCGACTATTTAGAGGTAATAAACGATATATTCACTATTAATAAAAAGTATTTGCTACACAGTTTATTTGTCCCATTTTTTCTCAGTGTAGGAAGTTATTAAAGTTATGATAAAAAAAACGATTTTTTTCTTAAGGGGTTTAGGTTTAGGTCATAGGTTTATTTGAACATTTTTTCTTAAAATCAACTAAGGATTTACACCCTTAAGGTTCAGCATCTTATTCTGAAACACCCTGTATATAGTAATTGTTTATTTTCAAAACGATTAATTAAATTTTTGCTTAATTTCGAATAAGTACATTCCTACTAATACGCCAAACCTTTGACAAGAAAAAAAAGTAATCAGACCGCTAGAAATGTGCTAAATTTGAACCAAAAAATGGCGTCGCTGAACTAACCTCAAAATCATCAGCGCATCCCATAAGATTTATCAAGGAATTTAATACCGTAAATAAAGAAAATACGCGCTGCTGGAAGAACTCTTACATTGTTAACAGTTTGACGTATAATAATTAATCCGGGAATATGTGTAAAAGAATATTTAAAAATATTCATTGTACCTTATTGGGGTTTAGTAGAAATAGAAAGTTTAATAGTTAAACCTTAGCTGTTAAAGATTTTTAACCTTTAAGTAGTCGCGTGGGGCCATATGGCACTTTGAAGTCCTATAGCATCTTGGCTGTTTTTTTTTAATTCTGTCCCTGAATTATTCCTCAAATGAAGGTCTAAGAGCTTTATACACCCTCCAAAAATTTATTCCCCGCAATTGTTTTTTTCTACAGCTGATACATTAAGCCGGTGCACGGCTGAACAATCACTTTGAAGGAGAAGTAGTCAATAAATCTGAGGATCCAGCGCCGAAATCTAAGAAAAGGTGCCATATTTGCCCTAGATCACGGTACAAGGCAAGCAGAGTAACTTGCATAAACATGTATGCCAAGAATCTTGGCCCAAGATCACCAGAGAAACCTTTGTGCCGAGTGTAAAATCTATTATATCATTGATCACTCAACGATTATACATATGTTAATTTTGTCAAAAAGTTGTATTGGCAATAAAATTACCTATGTTAAAATTATAACACAATTCTTAATTATTTTTTAGAAAAAAATACCCCTACTTATCCCTATGGCCCCACGCGAGAAGTAACGTCATACCAACCACGCGACTATAAAGGTTAAATAACTTAAAAAATTACATATATCTGGCATTGTATCGATAATGTCAAGGTAAACAAAATCCATCAAAAATAAAATAAAGATATGTTATACGTAATAAAATTAGTCACCAAAATGGAAACCTATGGGTTTAAGTATTTAGTGGTAAGCTAAATAGGTATGTTCTTTTTATCACAAAAATGTATAACATTTTATTATATTTTTAATTAAAATGTTGAATATATGTTTATTTAATTTCAGAAAAACGTTTAAACGTTTAAACATTTAAACGTTTTTCTTAAATTAAATAAAAATGTTAATTAATATATAGAACATATTTTGTAGCTTACCACTAAATACTTGAAACCCATATTTACCGAAGAGCAGTAAAACACTAACATTTATTTCAATATAATTATAAAAAAATATTTGGCGTGCTCCTATAGGATATACATATCATTATACCTATATAATTATGTCTATGTGTCTTACTTACTGGGTTTATTATTGGTAATCCATCAATAATTATTGTAACTAATTAAAGTAGCTTACCCTGTAAGATTAAAACAGTTAGCACTAAAACAATTTGCAACGACTTCATCTTGTCCATAACATAAAACATCGGACAATAAAATGAAGACGCTACTTTTATTTTAATTCATCAGTATTATTCAAGGACTATTCCACCATTCTTTATTTGGTATTTAATTTAATTACATAATACTTTCTAGTTATTTTTGAAGATCCCCTTTATGATTGTGCCCCCGGGCCCCGCACCGAGCTGCCCGCGGTTATATGTCCGACCCTGACTGTGATGCTCCTCACATTTTTTTATTTTTTTCAGAGCCATATATTAGAATCTGATATTACACTAGGTATGTAGATAAGTATGTATTTTGCACTCACAACTGTATCATCAGTTGCCTATATCTTAAACCAGAGACTATAGACTATAGTGGCGGCTGGTGGATTTTGGGTATACCAATATTTCAGTTATTAGACATGGGACCCACACCAAATTTATAATAGTTTATAATGACATTAAATAGACAAGTTCGGCGCAAACAGAATTTAAATTGAAGTTTGCGAAAAAAGTTAGTTTTTCCTGTCGCCTCACCCGCCTCCAGGCCCCCCTATTTAAGATAATTCAAATTAAAGTGGTGCAATTTATTATCTACTATAATTTATCGACAAATTTAAAATTTTATTTAAAAAATCCAAATATTACAGGTTTTATACCATTTTAAATATTTTTTTATTTTAATAAAATAAATAATAAAAATTTAAAATCGAATAAAATCTGTAATATTTGGATTTTTTAAATAAAATTTTAAATTTGTTGATAAATTATAGTAGATAATAAATTGCACCACTTTAATTTGAATTATCTCAAATGGGGGGGCCTGGAGGCGGGTGAGGCGACAGGAAAAACTAACTTTTTTTCGAAAACTTCAATTTAAATTCTGTTTGCGCCAAACTTGTTTATTTAATGTCATTATAAACTATTATAAATTTGGTGTGAGTCCCATGTCCAATAACTGAGATATTGGTATACATAAAACGATGTGGCTCCCGTCCCGAGGCGGGACTTAAGTTCAGTCCCGATTGACGTCACACACTGTAAATCCGTTTTTATTCCCCGAGATTTTATAATTTGTGTCAAGCTCGATGGCTTAGATGGTAGGGCGGTCGTTTGGCATACGAGAGGTACCGGGTTCGATCCCACTAGAAGTTGTCAAACTTTTTATTTTTTTTATTTTATAAATTTGTTGTTTCTTTGTTAAAAAGTGTTTTATTTTTATCGTAACATAAATTTGCCCATTTTAGTTGGGTTTTTTGCTCAATGGGGCGGGGGGGGGCCCAATGGGGCGGGGTCGGTTGGGTTGTGTTGTTGAGTTTGGGTTGGTTTGGTTTTATGACGTAACTAAAGTGCCCTTAACATGTATACAGGTACAATTTATTATTATTATTATTTTATTATAACATAACAAATCTTAAAATTATGACGTCAATCGGGACTGAACTTAAGTCCCGCCTCGGGACGGGAGCCACAGCGTACATAAAATCCAGCAGCCGCCACTATAGTTTTGTTCGGGTTCGCAAAAAACTGTCAGAATCATGCGCATTATGAAATTTCCAAATTGGAACTGGTGAATATAGTGTTTTGGTTTATTTTGTGGACGATTCAGGACGATCCAGAACCGTTCAAATTAATACGAGCTCAGAGTGCTTACTCTTTAGAACAGTTTTCGTGGCGCCTGCGCATTGAACTCTCACGTTTTATAAAATTATAATTTAAGTATGTTTATATTCTTATTATATAGCGTTGAGTGATTTAATCAATGCTTATAAAGGTTAGGTTAGGTGCTTTTATTTTGGTTTTTCGCATTTAAACATGTCCGAGCACAAAATACCTAATATTGATTAATTTTCTTTATACATCTTAAAACTAGTTAAGTAATGTTGTTTAAAATTAATTTCTATCAAGGTAACCATCCATACCGGATTGGCCAGGATAGATTCCAGTTTTTGGAACTTAAAACTAAAAACTAAAAGTAGGAGATCAACTAGTAATAGGGACGAATTTCGTTTATCAACATAAGAATAACATGTTATTCTTATGTTGATAAACGAGATTCGTCCCTATTATTGCGTGCACGCAGTTTAAGCACCATATGTATTAAAGAATACGGAAACAAATCATGCTCATGATTATCGATACAAAGATTTTTAAACTAACAAATATCAGTCGACTTTATCTTCAGTAAAGTGGTTGATGTCTGTTGTTTCTGTAATTTTATTTTCTTTCGATTCGATAAAAATGGTTTATTCTATTTCGGAGACAGTGGAAATTATTAAATTGTATTTTATAAACAATCAATTTGTTTAAGTAATGGCAACTTCGTTTAATGAGAGGCATGTAAATAGACACGTAAATCCGGTGAGAATTGAGGTAGTAGAAGTAGCTGTTCTGCGTGAAATTACTTTGGACCCTACATTAAGCACCAGAAAACTTTTTGATGAAACGGGAGTTTCGCGGGCCACCGTACAGAGAATTTTGAAACATAATAAATGACACCTATAAAATACAACTTCTTCAAGAATCGCATGAATATGATAATGACCGCCGTTTACAATTTTGTGAAATAATGTCTGAAGTAATTATAACTACTCCCAACTAATTTTTAAATATTTGCTTCTCAGACGAATTTTTTTTCTCAATGGTATTTAATCATCATGATTGTCGTTATTGGTCCGACAGGAATTCCAGGATCTTTCATGAGGTTCATACTCAACATCTTCAGAAATTAAACGTTTGTGCTGGTATTTTTGGTGATCACATAATTGGACCATTTTTATTACCGGGAAATTTAAATGGAGCCACTTACTTAGACTTGTTGGAGACAGAGCCGGATTACCCAATAGGCTAAGTAGGCTATAGCCTAGGGGCCCAAGGCTTGCGAGGGGCCCTTAAAAGTCTTCAAATTAATGAAAAGAAAAGTAAAATAGAAGAAGAACTAAGAAAATAATTTACTACTACCACTTTATTAATATAATAATAAAAAAATAATTATTATCATTATTTATACTAAATCTAGTTGCAGCGTGGCACGCACCGCTAATGTTAGTTTTTACTGCGATTTAAGATACCTAGACCGACCGACGCCTCTGCAGCTGCACTCTGCGCTGCAAAAAACTTATGTGAATCCCCGAATTTCAATTCCTAGCGTAAATACAAGGCGGAGTGCCTGGAGTAGTCATTTCATTATGATTATGTACGAGTTTCGTTTATTCGATAGTTGAAAGTTATTAATTTATAGGTAGTTGTAGTAATAATTACAAAATTAGTTTGTATTAAAAAACTTAATTAGTGCATAGTGACTTAGTGTACATTATACAATTAAGTCAGTGTCTGTATATTATTGTCTAAAATGAGTAACTATCCAAGTGGGGCAAAAAAGCGTAAAATAGCTAAAGAAAGAGCTGTTTTTCAGGCGGCATCTCTAGCAAATGTTCCAAAAATAGACACATTTTTTAAAACACAAAATATATATTGATAGTAAGCAATCACAGAAGTCTAATTTTATTCATTGCCCACATGATGATTTACCAGGAACTTCAAAAATAAATTTGGAAGGTAGATATTCATAACATATAGGGTCTTTTTATTCCATAGGCTTCTTTGTATACAATTTTAAACTTCATTATTTATTTTGTTTTAAAACAAAAGCAATAGGAGTGCGTATTTTTGTTTTAGATTCTTCGCTCAACGCTAATGAAATTGAAAACAATGAGAATGACACTGATGCAATTGATACAATTATTTCGGAAAAAATATTGGATAAAAGCTATATTAGCGACCCTACAAAAATAACAGTTAACTCAGAGACGATTGACGCCATAATAAAAAATCCAATGGTACAGGATTTAAACAGTTTTGATAGTTTTGATACTACTTAAGCAATCACAGAAGTCTAATTTTATTTATTGCCCACATGATGATTTACCAGGAACTTCAAAAATTAATTTGGAATGTAGGTATTCATAACATATAGGGTATTTTTATTCTAAACCAACCATAGGCTTCTTTGTATACAATTCTAAACTTCATTATTTATTTTGTTTTAAAACAAAAGCAATAGAAGTGCGTATTTTTGTTTTAGATTCTTCGCTTAACGCTAATGAAATTGAAAACAATAAGAATGACACTGATGCAATTAATACAATTATTTCGGAAAAAATATTGGATAAAAGCTATATTAGCGACCCTGCAAAAATAACAGTTAACTCAGAGACGATTGACGCCATAATAAAAAATCCAATGGTACAGGATTTAAACAGTTTTGATTTTGAAAATTCAAAGATAGTATATGAAAACTCACAATCACGCTACGCATCTAAAAAAATGTTTTTCTCCAAACTTCGAAATGGTGTAGAAGTTCGGCGGGAGTGGCTCTTATATTCGGTGTCGAAGAATTTAGTTTTCTGTTTACCCTGTATATTGTTTAGTAAAGATCGTGAAACATCTTTTGTTAAAGGATTTAACGATTGGAAAAATATTATTAGATTAGAAAAGCATGAAGCTTCGCAAGAACATTTAAACAACACAAAAATATTTTTAACTCGTTCCAATACTTTAGGCAAAATAGATACAGAAATTGAAAAACAATATTTAGAGGAAAAAAGCTACTGGATGAAAATTCTCCATCGTGTATTGTCTACAATAAAATTTTTAGTAAGTCGAGGTATGGCACTCAGGGGAACAACAGAGAAGTTTGGGAGGAATGACAACGGCAATTATTTAGGACTTTTGGAGTTAATAGCACAATTTGATCCTTTTTTGAACAATCACATACAAAAATGTGGAAATCTAGGACGCGGTAATGTTTCATATTTATCATCTTCTATTTGTAACGAGTTTATTGAAGTGATATCGAAACATGTTCGTGATTTTATTAGCAGTGAAGCTAGATCGGCGAAATATTTTTCCATTTGCGTAGATTCAACGCCTGATGTTAGCCATTCAGACCAACTTACTTTTATTCTTAGATATGTTTTATGTGATGGCTCTCCTATTGAACGTTTTATTACCTTTGTTAGTAATACTGGTCATAAGTCAGTGGACATGGAAACTGCAGTTCTAAAAATATTAAACGAGTTAAACTTAAATATTCAAGATTGTAGGGGACAGTCTTATGACAATGCCAGTAATATGTCCGGTAAATATTCGGGATTGCAAGCTCTCATAAAAAAAAAGAAATCATCTAGCATTATTTGTCCCCTGTGCGGCACACTCTCTTAACTTGGTAGGAACTTGTGCAGCTGAGTGTTGTAATTTGGCCACTTCATTTTTTATGTTCTTAGAAGAAGTTTA